CCTCCTCCTCCTCCTCCTCCTCTCTGCTTACCTTGCCTCAGTGACCCACGCAAAAGATGAAAAAATATCCGCCGGTTTGTCATTTATGGTGTACGGATTTGTTCAAGGACGTGTTTAGTGGTTGTAAGGTTCTTTCATTGATGAAGGCAACTGATTTTTTGAATAGTATTAAAGGGAAGGGTCTGTGACATATGCCTTTAATCTACATTAGTGCGCAGTTCAGAAACCCACACCTAGACTGTTTAAGACCAAGAAATATGTGGAGATGTTACGAGAGGCTGCAGTTATTAACCACATGGCACTTAAGTCACCGAGTTCCAAAATAGTCCTATTAATGAGGCTAATTGTCTTTTGAGAACAAACTAGCAGGTGCACACACTGCGGCGGCATCATGCCTGGCTGAACTGCTGAACTGGCCGAGTAAACCAGCCCAGGTCTGAACCGAGATTCCACTGAGAGATCAGCGCGGCAGTTAAGGCGACCCCCCATACTTGCATACGAGGGCATACGTATTTCCGTTGCTGGTCCCGTATCAACGCTACAGCGTTCGGGGGAGGAGTAGCTGATATCGCTGTCACACGCGATGACGAAATGTCAGACAGCCGCAAAAACTGATGGCCTCCATCGATCAAACGCGTGCGCCAGTCTGGGTACGCTACCGCGCAGCGTGTGCACCTCGTCTCGGCGACCGTCGCCCTCACGTCGGTTCAGAAGCCTGCAACCGAGGCGCAAAGAGAACGTTGCGGTCATGCAGGCGGGGTGAGGAGACGGGACGGGAAAACGTGCGAGAACGAACAGACGGGGGTGGGAGCGGGGCGGGAAGGGGCTAGTAGTTGCAGAAAGGTCCACCTTAGTGTCATGATTCGTGTTCTGGTGTTGAGCCGAAAAGCGCTTTTTTCCTTCTAGATCTGTCCAACCCAGACAACATAAAAACTTGCGATGGAGTCTACGGCCTTGTCTGGCTTCTCCGAGGACGAGCCTAGCCCAACTGCGGACTTCATGCGTCAGCGTTGGAAACTTGCATACATTGCCCAGACATTTGACGTTCTGGTGTAGGGCATAACAAAAGGGAGTTGGCTCCGATGAACGCAAATCTGACAGTGGTAAAGACAGCACGCTGTCCAGAAACAGCGGGTCTGAAGTAAAAACAGTGGCCCTTCCGATGCACATATGAGTTATAAATTACTTCGTCACTTTTGAAAATACGCTGAATGTCCCCGCATACAATATCACGCTAAAACAAAGACGGACAAACTCCGAATCCTGCCACAATGATGCAGATCGGAGCACATTCAGTACGTCAGGTGCCCAGTGTTCGTCAGTTTATCCTGGGTCTAAAGCTCGCCCAGGCTGCCGCGTAGCCATGAGTTATCCGTCATCCAGACGTGGCACCTACAAAAGTTAGATAAACTAGCTCGGTAATTTACTCATTATTAGCAGCCATCAGAAAGTGATGCCCCAACCTCAGGTGCTAATCCCCCCAATGGTCCATAGGGTTTTTGACGTTTAAAATTTAACACTTACATCCCCATGATCGACCGCTCTTCACCAGACGAAATCCTGCGTGAGCACTAGGCCTGAGACCTCAAGATATATCGGAAATGCCATTTTCCGTCCCGCAGGATACATAGGTGAACGCCGTCCTCATTGCTCGTATCTCAGCGGGTTGAGGGCTTCTTAGGCAAATTCACTGGCCACGGAGTTAAACACAGACGCGTAACGATTACAGGACTCTGACTGAAGCTTCGGGTACACCGGGGCTAGGAAGTGAAAGTGCTCACATACTTTACCGCTAAATAGGCTAGCATATATCAGAGACTTACACGAATATTTGGCGGTTGATGGGGTGTATGTACTAATTTTTTGGTAAGATGTGGTTTGGTAGCCCCACCTGGTGGACACAGTACTGTTGGGGTTGGGATTAGGGTTAGGGATCATGGTTAGTGGTTATGGTTAGGGTTAGCGGTTGGGATTTAGAATAGGGAGCTATAGTAAAAACCCCTATTACTACCAGTCCCGTATTAGAGATGACTGGGGTTTGTTTACTTCATGTAGGGCTACCAAACCACATCCAACCAATTTTTTGTAACTTTTTATGAACTTCATATACGAACATTACTTCTTTCGAACGGATGGACACTGAAAATAATACTTTTTAGGTTTTATGGAAAAGTAGTGCAATATTCACAACCCTTGGACAGTAAAACCCCAGCAGGTTTTAGCATGTTGGCCGCTGTACTGTTTAGTACGAACGAGGTTCTCAAGGAATTTGAGAGCTGCCATGCGTTGGCAGGCGTACACCGATAGGCTGGATTTTTAACTGTCTAGCCTAATTTAACTTCCACCTGCATGCATACGGGCCTATTTTAGTACATACACGTCAGATGTCAGAAATGCGAGAATAACAGTCGAGAAGAATGCAAACAGTTTTCCAGGTGTTGTTCCCATTGCTGAGTCCACGGGGACCCAGCACACCCTTCTTTGCAGCGCGGGCTGTCCGATAGGGGCATTCATGTCACCAAAAGCAATCCGCCTGTCCGCCTTCGGCACAGACGTCAGGAGGGCATCGCAGCACTTGTTACTTTTCTCGTCGATGTTGGTCCTTGCGGAAGCGTAGACGTTGATGACGGCGGTGGATGTGGCTCTTCGGAGAGGCAGACGCAGTATCATAAGGCGGTCGTTGATGCCCTGCGGTAGGTAGGACAATCGTCCAACGATGCTGTTCCGGATATCAAAGACGATTTCAGAATCACATCGTTCTGTCTTTGGACGGCCGATCCAGAAGCAGGTGTATTTGGCATCCACATCTTCTACGTCCTCCAAATGACCTTGTTCAGAGAATCGGGTGTCGCTGATAGGAGCAACATCCACCCTGTAGAGCGACCAATTGTGCTCTCCTTTCCGGTCGGTTGCCCAGCAGGTTGCCTAAAAGATGGTAAACATCCCAGGTTACCTGAAGGTGTAGAGTATCTCGGGTAGCCTGTGAGGTGAGGCGGCAGATGGGGACGGGAGGTTAGGGTTCATGTTGTGTATCAACCGCGAGTTTTGCGACGCTCAAATTTAGACTGTGTGAATTACCAGCATTTGTCTAGGCACCTTTTCTAGTCTCTTCCCCTGCGAGTGAGTAAGCAGTGTTACTCCTAAATACAGCTACTTACTCATTCCGGGCGACTGTCGAATTACGCTCAACGTCACGGCTGTGTTGAATGAAAAGACGACCCGCGCTAATTTGAATCGTTTGCAGGGTCGTTGTTGCTCAGTACGCGGGACTGTTTTAGTTCTGTGGCAGAACCGGGCGGGACAGCGAACTACTGGACGTGGAAAACAAAAAACACGCATACTCATGTACTGGATACCATCATGTGTTTTGGCCTGTCGGTCGAAATCGTTATCAGGGTACGGTCGCCAGGCAGAGCCAAACTTCGGAGAGTCACAAATGAGAGTTAGGTGTCAGTTAAGAATAGTGCGGAGCACGCATCACATGCATGAGGCAAACGGAGCAAATTGTCACCCCTAAACGATGTAACTCTTAACTGGACACCCCTAAAATCTACAGAGACATAGAAGTACAGCCTAGTGCAAACCGCATTCCCGACCATCGCCGAATATTATAGGCTATCGACAGGAACTTTGCCCACGATAAATACCTCTAAGGAAATGTGACGTTTGCCTATATGTGTCAATCGCCTACTTTTGACAATACTATGTCGCTTAAATGTAGATATTTCTTTCAGAAAGATTAAGACAGTCAGTCATATACTTCTAAAGCGTTAATAGGGGGTA